CGTCGATTTCATCCACATGAATGTTGGGAGGAATGCCGTGAAGGAATGTGTCTCACTCGGAATGAGAACATTTCAAAAGTACTTAAAAAGAATGTTTTTTCTTCTCAGTTTTCCAAGAAAACCGGAATGTTTTTACACACCAAATTTCCCTGGTGTAACCGATGAACGACGGTGACCTTTGACCCCGTCAGGAAGGGGGCTCATTGAGGAATTTTCGGATGATTTTTTCCGGAACCACATAATTTATATCAGGAAAAAAAAAGATTTGGAAGATATGATAAGGTTGCTGCGCCTCAGTCGTGCCCCTATGGCACCTCTGAGCCAGGTGGATAGGGAAATTAAAAATTTTCCGAATTTTTTTATCACAGCAAAAATGAAAATACGTTTCAGCTCAGTTGTTCAACTCAGTCCTTCATGGAGCCCTCAAATAAATTACTTATTTTTGAAAAAAAAAAAAAAAAACACTCCTCTAACAACAATAAACGCCACAGGTGTATCTTTAACTCAATTCTCCGACTACTTACTTATTTTTGTAAAAATCTGATCAATGAAAACTCCAACAGCCAAAAATGCGTCTTTTCCTTCTTTTGTAGGCAAAAACAGGTCTTTTTTAGGTAAATAACAGACACAAAAAAGCGAACATAAACCAAAAAAGCATTTTTTGCTCAAGAAAATACCCTCCGTATGTACTTGTGTCATCTTATCATAACGTATAGAAAGATAGCTACTTCGAGTGTCTTTTTTCACCAGAGCAACAGTACACTTTCGAGGGAGGTGGAGGTCGCTGTTTAGGAACCATTTTGACTAAAGGAAATGGTCTGAGTGATGTTGAAACCATTAACAGTTTTTGCATCAAATTTCAATCTTCCTTAAAATTTTGGTAATAAAATTTGATTTTATTTCCAAAATACCCGTATCATTGCAGCAAATCGAAGGAATGAACAAAGAATTATGCGGACACAGTCCTCCGAAGAAGCGTGAGCGAAAGAATCAAAAATTGAGTGAGCGTTGTAATTAGCATGAAGGATCAAAAATATCACCAGCAGCAGCAACAGCGTCTCAGAAAAAATCTTCAATTCTTGTTGATTCTTATGGAAAAAATGAGTAAAATATAATGTGAAAAATTGCGGACAATTCTAACTCTTATATATAAGTAATTTTTTTCAATGATTTATTGTTGTGACATGTGTAACTGTAT